TTCCCTGTTGAAGAAACAAAAACATGAACAGGGAAGAACTGTTCATTCTTCTTTTAAAAGACTAGGGGGGCAGTGTCCCCTGCTCTCTCTGCTTCCAAACTCAGCCAGCAAGCCGTACCCTTCCATACCAACATTCCAATCATGCGTCCCATCCCACCAGGTTTCTGTAATACCAATGATATCATAGTTGTATTTATTGGTTAGCAGTTCCAGTTCTTCCTGCTTATTACCCATACTTCTTGCATTTGTATATAGGCATCTAAGATACTGATTTGATCTTGATTTGATAAACCTACTCTAGCCCAACTTCTCCCCATGGCGAGATTACACCGCTCTGGGGTCCTGTGTTGGGAGCTTGGGGATCCGGCTGGATCCTCTCGATGGCTGGTTGATGAGTGGCCAGTGAAAGCCGGCATGTCTCTGCAGCTGGGCATGCTTCTGTCTGGGTGGGACTGTGCTAGTGCAGGGCCTGGAGAGGACTACAGCTTGGCACAGCCTCACAGCAGGAAAGGGAGCCCACGTCCACATGCCAGAGGACTCAGCCATACCCATCTCCCCGTGCCTCAGTCTGCCTATCTGTACAATGGGGATATGGTCGCAGCAACTTTCTTTTGCTGGATGATTCGGAAATCTTTCTGTGAAAGGGGCTGCACAGAGCGATCACGGTTATTGGTGAGAGTCACCGATCTCTGATCTGCTAGTGGCATCCCCTTGTTCCTGCAGAAAGTGTCCGTGTCTCCCTCATCTTGTCCTCGGGTCTGGCTGGCTACGATTGGCACGTCCCTTCTGGGTATTGACAATGTAGGCAACTTCCCTAGTTTTCTTCCTACTCAAATATAATGTAAAGATACAGAAATGCACAGAGCAGCCAATTCCTCCCTGACTCAGCCCAGAGGCCAAGAGTTCCCTCTCCCTTTGGGAAGAGCCCTTAATTACTGTTTACACATGAAGCTGGATAATTAGCCCAGAAGTGCAAACAGGCCGGTCTCCAGCCACTTTGGGTCCAGATGCTGCTTCTCTTCCAGAGGCTGAGGGGACCCCCTGGGACTGCCCAGAGCAGTGTTATAAATGGTGCACGTGCCATAGTGGTTCTCTGCATGGGAGGCTGTTGCAGACACAGGGCTGAGAGGCGTGTGGTGCGGCTGCCTGAGGGGGATTCCCAGGGAAGACACGTCCCTCTCTGGTACCCAGCTCTTGCTGAGGAGCTCTCTTGCAAGATGGGCACGCCAGGACATCAAGTAAGTCTGTGCCCCTTCTTCTCCGCACGGCTAGTAACCACCTCAGGGCGCTTTCCACAGGGTGAGGAGTTTGTTCCAGGATCGCGGCTCGTACATCCTTCTTTTCGGTGCACCGTGCGTTGTCCCGGAGCCAGTCTCCTGCCCCTAGGTGGCTGCATTTCAGTGGCACAGTGAAACAACAGGATGGAACATCCTCACAGACGTACGATTTAACACCGGATTCTGAAGCCATGTCCCGTACTTTGCTCAGGCCCCAATGAGGCACAGCTCCGCTTGGAGTAAGAATAAATAGCTCAGGAGACAGATGTGTGTATGTGAATGCACTGAGAGCCTCCCCATCACCTACTGCATGTCAGGAAAATACTATTTCCCTAGGCGGGTGGGGAAGCACTGGGCTGGGTTCCCTAGGGAGGGGGTGGAATCTCCACCCCTAAAGGTTTTTATATCCTGGCTTGACCAAGCCCTGGTTGGGATGATGGAGTCGGGGTTGGTCCTGCCTTGGGCAGGGGGCTGGACTCGATGACTCCTGAGGTTTCTGCCAGACCTGGGATTCTGTGATTCTATGATTCTAGGGCTTTGTAGGGGAGGGGGAGGGTCTAACGTGGATCCACTGGGACAAGCAAAAGATTTTTTTTCCAATGGGGCAAGACATCGTCTTTCCTTGCTTCATTCAAGGCGTCAGTTGAACTATGATGCCTGAAACTTTCAAAAAAAAGCAAAGGAGACACCCAGCATGGGAAATTTCCGTCCAAACCTTCACATTTTTCAAACTTATAATTAAACATTGCAGTTCTGTGCGCTCCTCGCAGGGTGGGGGTAGGGCAGGAAGAGGTAGGGCGGGAATCATAGAATCATAGAATCATAGGACTGGAAGGGACCTCGAGAGGTCATCGAGTCCAGCCCCCTGCCCTCAAGGCAGGACCAAGCTCTGTCTACACCATCCCTGACAGATGTCTATCTAACCTGTTCTTAAATATCTCCAGAGAGGGAGATTCCACCACCTCCCTTGGCAATTTATTCCAATATTTGACCACCCTGACAGTTAGGAATTTTTTCCTAATGTCCAATCTAAACCTCCCTTGCTGCACTTTAAGCCCATTACTCCTTGTCCTGTCCTCAGAAACCAAGAGGAACAAATTTTCTCCTTCCTCCTTGTGACACCCTTTTAGATATTTGAAAACCGCTATCATGTCCCCCCTTAATCTTCTTTTTTCCAAACTAAACAAGCCCAGTTCATGAAGCTTGGCTTCATAGGTCATGTTCTCTAGGCCTTTAATCATTCTTGTCGCTCTTCTCTGTACCCTTTCCAATTTCTCCACATCTTTCTTGAAATGTGGTGCCCAGAACTGGACACAGTACTCCAGCTGAGGCCTAACTAGTGCAGAGTAGAGCGGCAGAATGACTTCACGAGTTTTGCTTACAACACACCTGTTGATACAACCTAGAATCATATTTGCTTTTTTTGCAACAGCATCACACTGTTGACTCATATTCAACTTGTGGTCCACTATGACCCCTAGATCCCTTTCCGCCATGCTCCTTCCTAGACAGTCGCTTCCCATCTTGTATGTATGGAACTGATTGTTCCTTCCTAAGTGGAGCACTTTGCATTTCTCTTTATTAAACTTCATCCTGTTTACCTCTGACCATTTCTCTAACTTGCTAAGGTCATTTTGAATTATGTCCCTATCCTCCAAAGAAGTTGCAACCCCACCCAGTTTGGTATCATCTGCAAACTTAATAAGCGTACTCTCTATCCCAATATCTACATCATTGATGAAGATATTGAACAGTCCTGGTCCCAAAACAGAATCCCCCTGGGCCCAGACCAATCAGCTTTGCACTCCCCCTGGGCCCAGACCAATCAGCTTCGCACTCCCCCTGGGCCCAGACCAATCAGCATCTGGGGGTGGGAGAGCGTTGGAAGCCTTTTCCCATCCTGCCAGTAGTAAGGGGGAAGCAAAGTGGTTCCACTCCCCAGACCAATCATGTTCTGGGGGTGGGGTAGCCTAGAAGCATCTTGGCCCCTCCCCTTCCAGTTTAGGCCACACCCCTTCTGGTTTAGGCCACGCCCCTTCCGGGGCCCCAGCTCAAAATTATTGCCCACCCCTGGTCTAGAGAGCGGTTTCTTCACTTCTCTTTCTTCTCCTCTCTTGTCCCTTGAATCAAGACCTTGGTTGCCTCGAGACCCCCTTATTCACAGCCCTACTCGCGCTTATGGAACGGAGATTTGGCTGCACAGTCTTGCAGCATCACAAGCCCCTCAAAGTGTTAATTAACTATTCCTTTGTAAAAAATGAGTAGTCCTGTGGCAGCTTCGAGACTAACTAACATATACTGTATCATGAGCTTTCACAGACAAACCCCACTTCCTCAGATGAGCTTGAGTGGAGAAAAAAAGGGGACCCAGAATGTATAACAGAAAAAGAAGGGAAAGAAAAAGAAATACCTGTTGATTGTAGTGCTGGTGCTAATGAGGTGAATTGTGGGGAGTGGAAGTGTCCCATAATTAGCTTTTGATGTTAATGAGTTGTTAAATGTAAGGAAGGCTGGGTTTTTTATAATTATATAATGTTATATAATTATGTAGGCTTGGGGTTCCCCTTTCTTCTCCACTTCAGCTCATCTGAGGAAGCGGGTTTTGTCCACAAAAGCTCATGATATTCTCTATATTTTTGTGAGTCTCTAAGGTGCCACAAGACCACTCGTTGTTTTTAAAGTTACGGATTAACACGGCGACCACTCTGATACTGATTCCCTTTGTGCATTCCTCCTAGCCCAGTTTTACCTAACATGTACACACTATCTTTCAAAGAAGTCACATGCCTTAATGCCATGCCCTGTGAGCATCTTATTGCCAGTATTTACCTAATTAATGCCTGAGGAGGAGGCTGCGGAACGGCGCCAACTGAAAATCACCTCACAGATATTCCCTCCTCAATCAGTCACTTCAGCCTCCTTGAGTGGTATCCTTCGTCAGGGTCAGGCCACCCTAGTCAGATTATGCGCCAAATCAAGGTGTTTTACCCATGTTATTTGCTTTCAGGTGGGCACATTTGCTGTCTCAAAGATCAGTCGTAATGATGCACCCAACATGGGGCCAGTGACTTCCACCTCCACCTAAGGCCAGGGGTGCGTCTAGACAGCACCTTTCTCTCGGAATAAGCTACGCAATTTGCGTTGCACACCATTGCATAGCTTATTTCAAATGTATTTGGAAATAAAGCGCTGTTCCCAAACATCCTGTAACCCTCATGCAATGAGGGTTTCAGGGATGCCAGAATAGCGTGCCTGTTATTTTGAAATCTATTTTGAAATAACGGGCACGTGGAAAAGACGTGATATAGCCATAGCGGGATACCTCCAAAATAGCTCTGCTGTCTAGACGTACCCTAAGAGAAAGACTTTGCTCCAGGAATGCTCTAGCAATGTAGGTCAGCCCAACCATGTTTGGTACATTCATTCAGCAGAGCCACAGTAACTTAGCGCCACCTCAACATTAGTGTCACTTGTTCATCATCCCTTCCTTTGAATAATGACAATCTCATCTTCCCTTGTGTGGAGAGTGACCAACCTGCTTCACTCATAAGGACAGCCTCCAGTACTACATGTTGTGTCTTATGTTAACATTGTCTCTCCATCCAGGTATTTTTTCTGCAACCATCACTCTAGACTCTGGCCTCATACAGGAAGTCAGGGGGACATAAGGTATGTGCAGGAGATACTGTTCTGCCCCACAGACGATCGCCTTCCTCCCACGCCATGTCAGATTCCAACAAAACCAACTTCACCAACCCCTCCACCTTCATCCTGCTGGGCATCCCTGGGTGGGAGGCAGCCCATCTCTGGATTTCCATCCCCTTCTGCGCCATGTACGCCTTAGCCATTTTGGGGAACTTCACCATCCTGTTCATCGTGAAGGTAGAGTCGAGCCTCCATGGGCCCATGTACTATTTCCTCTGCATGCTGGCTCTCAATGACCTGGTTTTGTCCACAACCATTCTGCCCAAAATGCTGAGCATCTTCTGGTACAATTCCCGGGAGATAGACTTCAGTGCTTGCCTCACCCAGATGTACTTCCTTCACTGCTTCTCCTCGGTGGAGTCTGGGATCTTCGTGGCCATGGCCTTTGATCGTTACGTGGCCATCTGCCATCCCCTGCGACATTCCACCATCCTGACAAACCGTGTGGTGGCCAACATCAGCCTGGCTATTGTGGTACGCGGTGGCATACTTATGCTTCCCCATCCCTTCCTGGCGAGGCGGTGGCCATATTGCAGAACCAACATCATCCCCCACTCATACTGCCAACACATTGCTGTGGTGAAGCTGGCCTGTGCCGACATCAGCATCAGCAGTTACTACAGTCTGTCTGTGGCACTCGTGGTAACTGGTCTGGATGTGTTTTTTATTGCTATGTCCTATATCCAGATCCTCAGGGCTATCTTCAACCTCCCCACCAAGGAGGCCCGGCTGAAGACTTTTGGAACCTGCATCTCCCACCTCTGTGTCATTTTAGTCACGTACATCCCAGCTCTCTTCTCCTACCTCACAGAACGATTTGGCCACAATGTGGCCTTGTATTTCCACATTTTCATTGCCAACGTGTACCTCCTGGTGCCCCCCATGCTGAACCCCATCATCTACGGGGTGAGGACCAAACAGATCCGGGACAGGCTGCTCCCTCTCTTCACTCATAAAGGAGCCTAAAGTTTTCTCCTTGTGCTTTGGCTCTCAGACTGACTCTTTGAAGAGGTGCTGGTAACATGGTGCTGAAAAACACCGAACATTTTCCTGACCTTGTTGTGCTGTGTTACCATGACAACTGGGGGATCAGCTCATGTGGAACTTACTGGGTTACCTCCTTTCTAATTGCTTTTAACTGGACCCTCCAAAACCATTTCAAGTGACTCTTCCCCTGTGCCAAGACAATTCCTGCTTTGCCTCGTCCCACAAGGCTCTTCCCCTGTCACTTACTTCTCCTCTCCCTTCTCCCTCTAACCCTCCAGATCATGTCCACCTCCCACCCACCACTCCGCTCTGCAAAGGAATTGTTTCTGATTTGGGTAGGGATTGTCACAATAACAGTTATTTCAGGGGCTATCTAGGCTCTTGAAAATATACATTTTTTTGGTCAGATAATATAGCACGGTGTTTCTCAAACTGTGCTCCACGGAATCGCAGGTCTCCGTGAGATATCTCCAGGGGCTCCCCGAGGTTGAGAAACTGGAAACATCGATAGGTGGACCACTGCGGCTCCGCATACATTTTTATGCATGTAAAGGGCTCCGGAGTGCAAAAAGTTTGAGAACCACTGATATAGCAGTTGCCTAAAGGAGCACTGTATCTAATTCCTATATATAAGACAGCAAATTAAATAAATATTAGACTCACTCGTGTCTAACACTAACATATTTTGACTTTTTGTGGCCAGTCAGTTAAGGGGAGCTGGTCAGGTTAACATTTAAATGCTATAGTGACACTTCATTAATAACTCGAGAACGAGAGAGAGAGAGAGCAGTAGGACAGGACTCCTGGGTTGTATTTCAGCTGTGAGAGATAGTTGTGGTCCAGTGGCTTACAGAGGATGGGCAGAGACATCTGGGGCCTAAATAGGAATATCAGCATGGCCCTACTGGCCCCTTATATGACATTGGACTCCATCTTGTGCTTGCACTTCTTCATTAAGGCTATGTCTACACGGTGAGTTTTCTCTGAAAAAAATTTTACTAAAGAGGGACTCATTTGCATATTTTTTGCACTGGGGTTTTTGCACAAAAACAAGCAGTGTGGACATTTTCGTTTTGCACAAAATCCCTTCTTCCATAAGATCGGTGTACCTTCTTTTGAGGGGCATAAAGATCTTGGGGGAAAAGGGGGTTTTGTGCAAAAATAAAATGTCCATGCTGCTTGTTTTTGCACAAAAACCCCAGTGCAAAAACGGATCGGCAGAAATATGTAAATGAGATTGCCACTCATGCAAACGAGTCCCTCATTAGCATATTTTTTGCCGAGAAAACTCGTAGTGTAGACGTAGCCTAAGGATACATCTACCCTGCATGCTTCTTTTGACATAAGCTATTCTGGAAGAGTTATTATGAAACAGCTTATTTTGAAATCGCTCATCTACACTGCAGATAAGCCTCAAAATGAGTCCAAGGCAGGCTTCCCTAATGTAGATGGGATATATGAGTTTAGAACCCCAGGAGGCACTGGGGAGGAATAACTTAGAATGGCCCTGGTGAGGGGATATTTCGAAATAGCAGCAGTGGAGTGTCCACACACTCTTTGTTTCAAAATAGCTAATTTGGAATAGGTGCTATTCCTTGTAGAATGAGGTTTATGGATTTTGGAATAAGTTGTTGGTTATTTCAAAATTATTTCAAAATAATGGAACAGCTGTATAGAAACTCGCATTGTTATTTTGAAATAATGCTAGTTATCTCGAAATAACGGTGCAGTGTAGACACACCCTCAGGCTGCGTCTAGACTGGCATGATTTTGCGCAAATGCTTCTAATGGAAAAGTTTTTCCATTAAAACTATTTGCACAAGAGAGCGTCTGTACTGGCATCCGCAAAAGCATCCATGCCAGTGTAGACGCTTTCTTGCGCAAGAAAGCTCCGATGGCCATTTTAGCCCTCGGGCTTTCTTGCGCAAGAAATTAACGTTGCTGTCTACACTGGCCCTCTTGTGCAAGAATACTTGAACAAGAGGGCTTATCCCTGAGCGGGAGCGTCAGAATATTTGCGCAAGAAGCACTGATTTTGTACATTACATTGGAGATGAACGTAGGAGATAGCCGTGTAGAGAGTCTCTGGGTTAAGCTAAAAGGAGTAAAAAACGAGGGTGATATCATGCTAGGAGTCTACTACAGGCCACCTAGCCAGGTGGAAGAGGTGGATGAGGCCTTTTTTAAACAATTAACAAAACTATCCAAAGCCCAAGATTTGGTGGTGATGGGGGACTTCAACTATCCAGACATATGTTGGGAAACTAACACAGCGAGGCACAGGCTATCCAATAAGTTTCTGGACTGCATTGGAGACAACTTTCTGTTTCAGAAGGTTGAAAAAGCTACCAGAGGAGAAGCTGTTCTGGATTTGGTTTTAACAAATAGGGAGGAACTAGTTGAGAACTTGAAAGTGGAAGACAGTATAGGGGACAGTGACCACGAAATAATAGAGTTCATGATCTTAAGGAAAGGTAGAAGGGAGACCACCACAATTGAGGTTATGGATTTCAGGAAGGCAGATTTTGATAAGCTCAGAGAACTTGTAGGTAAGGTCCCATGGGAAGCAAGACTGAAGGGAAAAACAACTGAGGAGAGTTGGAAGTATTTCAAAGGGACGTTGTTAAGGGCCCAAAAGCAAACAATTCCGCTGTGTAGGAAAGATAGAAAATATGGCAAAAGACCAGCTTGGCTTAACAAGGAGATCTTGCACAATCTCAAAATAAAAAAGGAGTCTCATAAAAAATGGAAACTAGGACAAATAACAAAGGATGAATATAGGCAAGCAACACGGGAATGCAGGGGCAAGATTAGAAAGGCAAAGGCACAAAATGAGATCAAACTAGCTACAGGCATAAAGGGAAACAAGAAGACCTTTTATAAATACATTAAAAGCAAGAGGAAGACCAAGGACAGGGTAGGCCCACTGCTTAGCGAGGAGGGAGAAGCAGTAACAGGGAACTTGGAAATGGCGGAGATGCTCAATGACTTCTTTGTTTCGGTCTTCACCGAGAAGTCTGGAGGTGTGCCTAACGTAGTGAATACAAGCAGAGAGAGGGTAAGTTTAGAAGATAGGATACACAAAGAACAAGTTAAAAATCACTTAGGAAAGTTAGATGTCAGCAAGTCACCAGGTCCTGATGAAATGCATCCCAGGATACTCAAGGAGCTGATAGAGGAGGTATCTGAGCCTTTAGCTATGATCTTTGAAAAATCATGGCAGACAGGGGAGATTCCAGAAGACTGGAAAAGGGCAAATATTGTGCCCATCTATAAAAAGGGGAATAAGAACAACCCAGGAAACTACAGACCGGTCAGTTTAACGTCTGTCCCAGGGAAGATAATGGAGCAGGTAATTAAGGAAATCATATGCAAACACTTGGAAGGTAATAAAGTGATAGGGAATAGCCAGCATGGGTTTGTGAAGAACAAGTCATGCCAAACTAATCTGATAGCTTTCTTTGATAAGATAACGAGCCTTGTGGATAAGGGAGAAGCGGTGGATGTCATATACCTAGACTTTAGTAAGGCATTTGATACGGTCTCGCATGATATTCTTATTGATAAACTAGGCAAATATAACTTAGATAGGGCCACGATAAGGTGGGTGCATAATTGGCTGGATAACCGTAGTCAGAGAGTTGTTGTTAACGGTTCTAAATCCTGCTGGAAAGGGATAACAAGTGGAGTTCCTCAAGGGTCTGTTTTGGGACCCATACTGTTCAACATCTTCATCAATGATGTAGATATTGGGATAGAGAGTACGCTTATTAAGTTTGCAGATGATACCAAACTGGGTGGGGTTGCAACTTCTTTGGAGGATAGGGACATAATTCAAAATGACCTTAGCAAGTTAGAGAAATGGTCAGAGGTAAACAGGATGAGGTTTAATAAAGAGAAATGCAAAGTGCTCCACTTAGGAAGGAACAATCAGTTCCATACATACAAGATGGGAAGCGACTGTCTAGGAAGGAGCATGGCAGAAAGGGATCTAGGGGTCATAGTGGACCACAAGTTGAATATGAGTCAACAGTGTGATGCTGTTGCAAAAAAAGCAAATATGATTCTAGGTTGTATCAACAGGTGTGTTGTAAGCAAAACTCGTGAAGTCATTCTGCCGCTCTACTCTGCACTAGTTAGGCCTCAGCTGGAGTACTGTGTCCAGTTCTGGGCGCCACATTTCAAGAAAGATGTGGAGAAATTGGAAAGGGTACAGAGAAGAGCAACAAGAATGATTAAAGGTTTAGAGAACATGACCTATGAAGCCAGGCTTCATGAACTGGGCTTGTTTAGTTTGGAAAAAAGAAGATTAAGGGGGGACATGATAGCGGTTTTCAAATATCTAAAAGGGTGTCACAAGGAGGAAGGAGAAAATTTGTTCCTCTTGGTTTCTGAGGACAGGACAAGGAGTAATGGGCTTAAAGTGCAGCAGGGGAGGTTTAGATTGGACATTAGGAAAAAATTCCTAACTGTCAGGGTGGTCAAATATTGGAATAAATTGCCAAGGGAGGTGGTGGAATCTCCCTCTCTGGAGATATTTAAGAACAGGTTAGATAGACATCTGTCAGGGATGGTGTAGACAGAGCTTGATCCTGCCTTGAGGGCGGGGGGCTGGACTCGATGACCTCTTGATTATGATTACAAAGTCAGTGTTCTTGTGAAAATTCTCGCAGCCAGTGTAGACAGGCGGCAAGATTTTGTGCAAAATCATGCCAGTCTAGATGAAGTCTCAGTGTGCAGAGGATATTTCCTTAAAAAAAAAAAAAGTTCCCTCGATGTGGCAGAAGTGGAAAAAATGGGAGTGGCATCATCACTTGGCCTCACTCTCTCCAGAACGCAATATCTGGAAAAAACCTTCTTATCAAAGGTTTGAACTGGGCATGTGGTGGCAAGGCTAAAGGAACTGATCAAATGTCTGTGGAAAATGGATGGACTCTTTGTAACATCCCGGTGGGCTTGGCTGATACATGGGGCTTTTA